ATATAATTCCCCGCTTGGCTGACTTTAGGCAGCTTCAATCTTTCGAGCTCTTTCCGCAAGAATAAATGCCAGCGACAAACACCCATGGCCAACTCATTTAGTCATCATCTAGGCATGAATCCTTTGAATTGGAAATGCCAATTAAGTTCGCGTGGCAACTAACTTCGTACGTTTTGTTATAGAAGAATTTGGTGTTGGAAGAGCGTGGGAAAAAAGGCAGCCTACAAGGGAAGATATCCTTCCGTAAAAAACACTTTTTTGTGCGGAGCTATTTATTACCGGGAATACGATTGAACTCCCGGCCAAACCCGAAGCATTTAAAAGGTTCTTATTTTGTACAATTGAAGACAGAGGCAGTTTATTGCGTTTGCTCGAGCATTTTCGGCCTCATCCCTTGAGGCACTTTTTTGCTTTCAGTTCCTACCACTCGGAGGAAAGTAAGGGGGTCCGTTCCAGACCATATTTAAACGTGTTTATAGTTACATCTGTTCAGAAGAAGCGTAGTCAGTCCTGAAATGTTAACCAAACTATCTGTACATGAGGAAGGAAAACGGTCAATTCAACACCGGTCTCTTAAAACATAACTCTGGGGGAGGGGGGGTAAGGGTTAACTTGGCGATTCCCAAAATCTATCCTTATGGATTTTTGATGTGCTGAAAATGTATTTTACTAAAAACATAGGCAGCAACATCCTTTCTTGTAAATATGTAATGGTCAATCACGTCCTCCTCCAATTTTATACCCGTCGATTTAACGGTTTTGAATTAAAATATTTTAAGGCCGTACAACGTCGATTGAAATCGCACTATATCTAGGCTTCTATTAGTGCCCCTTACTACCTATTTATCAGTCTATATCCATTGCAAAAGTTTATGAGCACTACGTGGTACCTTTTTGAAGGCCAAAGAGGAATGCATGCTAATCCTTGCACGGAAAGTATTCGGCTCGTAGGCTGAAAACCTAAGGCCAAAGGCAAGGACAGATCGGACTCAGAAGCACAGACACTCCTCTACTTACGAATTTTTAACCTTTGTGCTTTCAGACGTAGGAATGAGTAAGTTTTAAGCCCAAAAAGCATGTTTACTGCGTTAGTAACATGCTTGCTTAGGAATAATTTACTTAGAAAGCCTTACTTACAAACAGCCGTTCAGAATGCAACTGGCTGGTACGTAGAGGAGTGTCTGTAATCGGACTGACGTTCAAAGTTTCTGCGGCAACACATCGTCCTGACAGCAAAATTAACGTCTAGCCAGAGTCCCTCTGTACGCAGCGGGATACTGTACAAGTTTGACGTCTGTGTGCGGCCATCCGACGCCTGTCCGGTCTATCAATCCTGCTGTGTGTGTGTTCTGCACATTCCATCCCACCTACCAACCAATGACCTTTAGCACAGCTCTGATGCCACCGTGTTCTCTTCTCCACATGATCTGTCGTCACTCACGATGATTTAAACTTTCTTCTGCAAGTGTGCATGTTTATTTACGGTATTAACCCATTACCTCTTATAATTTTAACCACTTTGATTTTTTGTTATGAAACTTGGATACCTACGGTTTTTCAAACTTGTATAGAAATTAATTTAGAGCGAATTTTTTAAAAATCTCATGTGGATATCAGAGAAATTATACCTAATACTATATGCATGAAGGTTAAATATGCGTATATGCAGACAGATAATTACGAAAGCTCATAATTTTTAAGTGATCTCATATGAGATCACCGAGAGGTAATGGGTTAACATCTCACTAAGACTGCCTACAGTATAGACGTGGGGGAAAAAACTAAGCGAAATTCAGAAAACAAATCAAATGAAGACAAGAATACACCGCGGGGGGGATAAAGGTAGTTGCAGTTAAAATGGCTGCTTTATGCAGCTCAAAGGGTCCGTTATTCTCGCGCTGCAAGAACTATGACGCAAGTTAGGCGAACGCGCGTTTTCGATTAATTCATCATCAGGCAAATGCAATAATATAAGGGAGGGCAGATGCCATCCCTGGACCACCCACGCGGTCAAGAGACGATGACACCTTGGGTATTCACGCCTCCCAAGAAAACGCGAGACAAAGACGACGGGGCAGCATGAACTAATTGTCGGACCCCTTCCCACCCTCCTTTCCCCCCTCCGGTCCTTAATTATGACTAGAATCTGACCCTCTTTGATCCCTTACCACCTCTCCCCCTAATTACTACTGATTGGTTGTTGAAACTTTTGTTAACTCTATCCTCCTTTATATTATTGTATTTGCCTAATGATGAATTAATCGAAAACGTTCGTTCGCCTAACTTAACTTCCTGAACACTTACATGGGTATCTTCGCTGGACTATGACATAGTTAATCGACTGCCGGGTAAAGCAGGAAAGAGAATAGAATTTCGCCAGAACAGTTGAGTTTAGTAAATATGGATTTTATTTGGCAAACGTATCCTTCGGAAGGACAGACCACAAAATCGGACCTGCGTGTCTGTCATTGTTAGCATGAATTTAAATCACATACATGAATGCAAGGAAGACAGACGACGCGTGTGCGATAGGGCGAACAGGGTTAATCACGATAAGGCAAATTACTGGTACCCTCTCCCCCCGTCCCTTCCCCTCCCCCTCCCTCCCTCTCTCTACATGGATTGCAGGTTGCTGCAAACACAGCATCAAGACTGATTGGGTGGTCAAAGAAGCA